GATATTAAATGGAATGGCCCAATCGAGGAAAAAGCCCCGACTTCAAGTCCGATTTTGACAGTTAAAACGGCGGGACCCGACAGACTTTTCTTAAAGTGTCATGCGATAATAATCTACAATACTGATCCCTGTTACCCCGCAAACGACCAAAAGAATATCCGTGTCAAGCGCGGATGCTCAACAAACATTTTCGACATGGCATGATTTCCATTCACTGTTCCATTGACCAGTTTTGATGCAAAAAACTCTTTCCTGTAGTTGACACTTGGCAAATAATTGGCCTAGATATTATACTAGCAGATCCTGGAAAAGGTTCGTTTGATTCTCATGATGAGTGCAGAAATCGGTCGAGAAAAGACAACCTACTCTTAACTCGGAACGAAAAATGTGTCCGCCATTGCTTCGGCTGAGACGATATATGATTGGTCGAACAATGTCACGTGAACCGTGTCCTACACCGCCTGCCGTTCGGCGATCAGATGAAAATGAGCTCGAGCAAAAATTTCTCCCGGCACGCTTTGCAAATCGTGTCCAACACCGCCTGCGCGTGCCTAGAATGCCGAAATTTGTAATCTTAGAAACGTGGCAATTGTTTGGCCAATGGACTAGCATTTTATGTTGGAAGTACCAGGAATACCCGTTGAACTAACTTCATGCCATATAAGTTAGATTAAAGAGCTGGCTTCATGAATAAGTAGGCTTAGTTTCAGCTGTAGTTTGGTTTATTTTCATTTTTACATTGGCCATCAACATTATATTTTGCTATTAAAAATAATATTCCCGACAAAGTCTTAGTCTCTAATTCATTATTTACAAAGAATATATGCATATATTGCAGAACTGAAGCAGCCGGTTTAATATTTCAACTGCTGTTTCACACCGCCGGCAGCTTGAGACAGCGGACGAAGCCGGCCTTGTTAAGCTAAGGAATATACAGAGATCCTCAACATTGAGAAATGGAGACCATTTCAAATGGGGTTATCTTTTAAAGGTGTTCTGTCAGTATCACACGTGAACATACATAGATGAGTACTGTCCAGTAAGGTAGCCGCGTCTAATGTCATTCTACATGTTGCAATCAAGCGTAAGATTCCAGTTTGATATCCGGTATTAGATAGGTTACTTCTCCATCATTCCTGAGAAAATCTTCTTTATTATCATCACAATGAACTTTCTGGATAAGCGTCACAAGTCGATCGACCCTGTCCTTCAGTTGCGCAGCTTCGTCAGTCCGTTTTCTCTTCTTGTACACCGGTCGCTCGAAATCCCCTTCGGCGAAAACCCGATTTTTGAAAATTGATCGCGACTTGAATCCTAACCAACTCATAAATTGCTCTGTCATAAAGTCGACGATCTCGTATTCGTTAGATTGGAGGTCGTTGTTTCGCTTCACTCTCTTAAAGTTCTCAATAATGATTGACAGGAACATGTTGACAAGGATGAAGACCACGCCTATACTGTAGAAGAAGAACATCATCGGACCCAGGACTCTGTTGGTTCGCTCCAAGCTAACATAACTGAACTTGCCTAACATGACACTGATAAGGGTTTCTACAGTGGTGACGAACGTGTGAAATTTGTACAACTCGTGTGAGAACACTAGGTAGCAGAGATGAGAAAATCCGACAAAAACCAGGCTGAAAATGATTCCGAAATGAAGCATTTCCTTCGCAGCGCATTTCAAGGTGGATCCAAGAAGAGACATACGTCGGTTGAAGCGAAATAAACGGAGAAATTTCACCGAGATGATGAAAACTACAAATGCGTAGACATACCCGAACAACTGATCAACCAATGCGAGATGGTGGAAATCCACGAATTCTTGAGGGTTCTCTCGAAAAGCCTTCTTCGTGAGTTTGTCTAGCCCGAACCTGATAAAATACAGAACGATACTAGTCCAAGACAAGCCTAACAGGGCTATTTCAACCCATGTCCAGAACGCAGTCATGTATTCTTTTAAATCCGTCTTGAGAAGCCTTTTGAACTCGCGATAAGTAAACACAAGGGTGAATACAACAAAGGAAGCTTCGCAGATCAAGACAAACAACAAGAAATTCCCCACATAGCGGTCGATCCGCGTTGAAAGCAGTTGTATGAATGGAACGACACCTCCGGCGGCCGTGAACTCTAAAAGCAAATTCATCACACAGTAGAGATTACTATGGCCGTTGTACACAGTAAACTCAATGAATACAGCGCGCGTGTATTTGTCGACCCAATTGTTCGATTTCAAGTCATCTAACATGGAGTAAGCTCCCGCTTCAGTCGATCCTAAGTCAGCTTTGTAGCCGCCTCCTCGATAAAGGGCAAGATGCCCGAGAATAGGACGTGTTTTGAGTTCAGTGGTCGTCTTGTAGTGCCATGCGCTGTTTCCTGAAGTGGAAGAAGAGTTCTGATTGGTTGGTTTCCAACCGGGAGCGTAGTGAGGAGTCTGGTCCTCAGCGTCCCAGGAGTAAGGTTTATTACATGCGTCCACGTCAACATCAAATACTGAAGCAACTTCACATGTTCCTAAAACAACGACAAATCATCAACAGAATTAAAAACGCGATCTTTGTATAACAACCTCTCCGTGCTACTGAGCGGAGTTGTTCCTTTCTGTGATGCTAAGTCCTTGAGTTTTTGATATTTTCTGTTCTTCCTAATGAAAAAATTCTTAACACTTAAAACATTCAGCAAAATTAAATTGGGTTGAATTCGACATTTTCCCACAGTTTCTTTGGCAATGTTATGAAACTGACAACTGACTCAGCTTGAGCAGTGCATCATCAAGTCCTGATACATTTGGAAGGTTTGTGAGGCACACAAAAAGCAACAGTTGCTCTCGCGAAGCTCTGCGCCTCGAGCAACTCTCCTTTCGCCGTGCTCTTCAAACTTCCCGTGTGCATCAAAACCCGACGATGCGCGCAATGAATGTAAGTGCTGCTTCAACCTCCAAGTTAGAGAAACAAAAACCCAAGCAATTACAAGTACATTAGGAGATATAGAAGCGCCCTTTAGATGACCTGCGTATGATGTGCATTGAGTAACCTTTAATCTGAGTTCATACCACTTTTAACACGAAGCTGCCTGATCCGAGCCACGCCCACTACAAATGACATCTTGTCATTCAAGAATCCTGGTTTCCCTGTGTTACCGTTGTACCAGGCACCGTTGTAGAGGCCTGGAACTAGAGTCTGATTTATCCATTCCCAGAAGTCGTTCACATTGGTTACCTATGAGGTATTTAAAACAAAACGTTAACACATTGGGACACTGTTGTAATTTGCAGTTTTATTTATTTATAAATACTTACGTCATAAAGCTTGATGACATCATCGGCCCCCTCAGGCTTCTTAGAGATAATTTTGTCTTCGTCACGGTAACCGAGAGAGTCCCGGTGACCAACAAAAGTGTTCTCAATGTTCTGAGCCATAAAGTGTGCATACGGGTCTCTGTGGCCGTAAGCTATTAAAAGCACCATCCAAACAAACAGGAAGTAGAAGACGATTTCCCGGATGACTGAATGCATCTTCCTTTCATTGACAAGTCGGACCCGAGCTGCGTGAAGTAATACCTGCATGGAAGGACGCATATCAGTTAATAGAATGCTTGAGGTGTTAACCTCGTCAATTTAAATTGATGAAGCTAAAGCAACTGCGAGACCAGGAAAACACGAGGTATTTCACAATTTGGAAGAGATACAAAGATACTAAGTTTCATCCTTCATCTTTCATCTTCATACAACCCTCACTTGCCAGTTGACGGTTCAATTTTAAAATGATCCGCATCTGTAGCCGGCGTGTAGACGTCGTGCGTCCCCCTCAAGAAAGGAACTAAATAATTTGAATGCACTCAGGCCACCTTATTTGTAGATACCCACTTCAACCGCAATGTTTTAACTTAATTTTAATTTGTCCAGTTTAATTTATTTGTTAAGCTTTGTCGACGTTTCTCACTTTATGGTTGAAAGTCACTTGATGGTTAGCGCCGTCGAAGCTAACTTGTAGTTTTCAAAGCGCAGTTCGAATGATTGCAGTGAAAGGATACGGTAAACCAGTCGGAAGTTTTTTATGTTAGTTTTCTGTTTTAGTGGAAATATAGGATAATGTTTTACGTCAGGCTAAATATCAAGGAAGTGCTAAAATGTATAGTTAAGTGATAAAAATTTGCATTCAGTTATAGAAAAAGTCTTATACGCTTATAGTGATTTAAAAATATTCCCCTTTCGTTAATACTCATTCAATAACTAAGTGTTCTAAAACGTTTTGAAGTCACATTGATATTAATCAGATAGTATTATATTCTCGTATCTGGAAAGGACAAATCACATCATTGCACCAAACACAATTATGTTTGCAAGCTCTTGAACAGGACAACCCTTACAAGCAAATACCTTATCTGGCGGGCGGTGATATTGAGTGTCAGTGGCCTTGTCATGGCGTTTCTGCCCATGCGTAAGATTGTGCTCGAGCCATTCCTCGTCGCGCGCCAACTCGGCGTTGATGACGTCATCTTCTTCATCTTGCGGCTTTTTCAATAGCAGCGCGAAGAGAACGGCAACAATAATCACTTTCAGAGGTTGGCTTATCAAGATGTCCTGCGCCATAGACACGAACATGGAGACTAACCATTCTTCTTGTTGTTTGTTGTCGAAGCTCAGTCCGTACAACAGCGTGAAAAAACCAGCGGCGGCTGCCGTGGAGAAACATAGTAACCAGCCTATGTACACGAACCACCATGGAAACAAACAGTTCATCTTCCGCTTTTTCTTTCTCTTGGGTTTTTCTGTCTTCACTAAGGCAGTTGTTGTGTCCACTGAGTCTCCACTGCAAATAGACTCTGGACAGACTCCAGAGAAAGAAAAAAGACTACAATAAGATAATGTACTTAAAAGTTGCGATTATGATGACTTTCATTGATTGTTTAATTTATAATCCCTGTAAAACGCGCACGCTAACTTTCAGATAAAACAGGCTGTGTTTTTCTCACTCAATTAGGTGCGAAAATTTGTTGGCAGCTCTTGCACATTGTCGCTTCATATTCCTATTTGTTCATCGGGTTTCCTGTGCATGTTGTGACTGACTGTACCGGTTGTCATTATCGCGATTTTGTTGTGAAAACAGTAATAACAAAATAACCAGTATTCCTGTTATTTTCTAGCCTGCGTTGCAGGCGTAAACGGGGAAGGGGTAGGGAGGCAAAAATGCGAGGAAGACGGGGAAGGAACTTCTCCCAGTCTCTCCTCATCCATCCGCGCTTTGTCTCCCCCTCTCCCCTCCCCCTATCCCCTTCCCCCCTCCCCCTCTCACCTCCCCCTCTCCCCCCTCTCCCCTCCCCCTCTTCCCGTTTAACGTCTACTACAAAGGCTAGCTGTTTTCTTATATCTAAACCATGAAATCGGTAGCCAGTGAACAAACAAGCTGCCTAATGTACAAAGCGCCGTGTTTCATTTCTGTTGGCGTTCATCTTCCTTGATATGGATCAGAGATCATTTTTATTTTATAAATAACAAACAGCTAAAAGCAGGGCACATGAGATGAGGCAAGATGTTTCCCGTACCTCTTTCCCGGTCACGTGCCTCGTCTTGATACAAGTAGTAGTAAATATCGGAGGACAAAAAATCAGGCACCTCCCCCACTTGGTCATCTTTTTCCAAACGTTTCTTTTCCTTTGGCTTCGCTTCTTTGTTCTCTGTTAAGACACCAATTTGACTCTCCAGCAACGAACAGAACAAATCCTCGTCCCAGGAATCCTTGTGCGCGGCCACGGGTGTGCGCATGCTCGTCAAGTTCTTTAACTGAACGTGTTTTTGTCGTGGACCCGCTGACTGCCTTTGTGAATCCGTCGGCGTGATGTCACTAAGTGAGACCGCCTTTTGTGTACGTGGCTTTTCTGTTGGAAAGTTACTTTCTCTTCTAGTCCTCTCCGCGTATTTCTGTTTCGTCTTGGGGCTAACTGCTCTGTTCCTGAACAACTGAACTATCAGCAAGTTAATTGGGAATACGATTAAGCTGGACTGAACGCCAATAAGAATCTCGTGCCAAGTGAATTCAAAGAAGCCAAGGTCAATTAGAACATTGTTTTGGTCCTTCACTGGCGTTTTATACCAAAGTACGTTTGCCAGCATAGAACACGTTAACAGGGATAAACAACATGACACTCGCTGGACACACGTGAAACGGCTGCGCACCGGACGAAAAGCGATGGAAAACCACAAATGGCCGTCAGAAAGGTCACGACTCGTCTTGGTTTTGAAAAGATGTATAAAGTCGCGTAGCTCGTCTTTTCCCGCCACTGGAAACAGTCGGTCAACCTGTCCGTCCCCTTCGTCGCACGCCAGCCATTGGTTGCACAGAAAGAAGAATTTTTCTTCCGCCTCAATGTCCCTGATGACGACTTGGGACAGAAACCAGGATGGGCTCTTGCCCGTGTTATCGTGCCATATACGGATGAATGTTAGACTTCCTAGGCATTCTGGTGTGGTGATAAGGAACGAATCAACACCGCCCGGGTGAAGAGAGGACCTGGATGTGCTCTTGAGCACGTGCACGGCACTCTGACCATCTTCACCGGCGACAAGGATGGAGACGTTTGCTGTGGTGCCCGTATTCTTGCCGCGTGCAGTGTAAACAGTCACTTCATAGCGATATCGGTCTGATGGGTCGTTATCTAAAACTGGCACGAGACCGACCTGACAAATAAGAAACATTAAGTACGTCAGGACGTTGTTTGGTTTCCATCGAAGAAACTCGTTTAAGGTAAGGTCTGCGCCGGGCCAAATGACCCACACAGCCGGAGCTTATCCTGTTTTCTGTAGCACAAAGCGGCTAAGCGGCAAGTATTCCTACTTTCCCCTAGATGGGATGCTAGTCCATCGCAGGGTTACTCCCTAGGGTTAATTAACTATTTACACACCTGGGTGGAGAGAGGTAATGCGAGAGTAAAGTGTCTTCCTCAAGAAAACAACGCAATGTCCCGGTCAGGGTTCGAACCCGGACCGCTCGATCCGGAGTTCACTGAGCGCGATAATCATTAGGACACCGCACTTCCACAGAAAAAACTTACTTAGTCGATATTCTCTTTGTTAAACTTTTTTTTTAGCTAATCCGACACTTTTTTTTTGATATTTTAACTCAAAATGATACTTTCTACTTTTTCTTTCGTTATTTCAATTCTTTGAAATTTCAGCGCACACTCAGCTCTGTTCCATTGGTGCCCATACGGTACCAAGAAATTCGACTGTAGAAGTAATATATCAAACACGAAAGACCGTGTTCGAGCACATGCTCAAACACCGAGAAGAGAGTTGAAAATGCAATGCGTAGCGAAGTACTTTGACGAACTACGAGATATCTGGAAATGTGATGTAACACTGTGTTGAGTGTTTGATATATCTTCTCAATCGGAACTAAAACTAAGGAGAGAACGGAGAAATAAAATCGTTAAAATCTATGCTGATTAAGATCAGATATTCAAACACCGTCACGGTCATGATTCCCTTAGTTTGAACTTGATGTATTATTAATGAGCGTGAGTCGTCGTTATAGTACTACGTAATCAAATCAACCAAACTAAATGACAAATCCGCGTTGGACACAAAAACACAACTGTAATCTTGCCCAGACCTTGGTGATATCTCTTCGGTCCTTCCGTCTCGCCCACACGAGCCCTACAAGGTACAGCCCAATGATCACACAGAAGGTAGCGAGAAGCGCAGGGTGTTTGTAAATTTCCGGAAGCTTTTTAAAAGAGCTTTCGATATCCAACTTGTTTGGCGGGATGAACAAGTCTGCTCCGAACCATGTCAAATGTGAACACTGGCAGTGAGTAAGATATCGAGTAGTCTTGTTGTGAACCTGTAGTAGATATAAACAGGAAGAAAATAATAAAGGATAGTAGGTTAACAAACTTTTTGTTTTGAGAATTATAACAATACTTTTCGCGGGCTGCTAAACTATTTTAGCTATGAGCTTACTTTCAAACAAAGTTTAAGAAACTAACAAAGTGTCGAAAAGTGGCGTAAGAGTCCTTATTAAATGGCAGGGTAATCTCAGAGTGTTCTGATTGGTTCTTTCTTGTTTGGGATTTTGCTATGGAAACGATCATAAGCCATGTGTTTTTTCTTTTCAAGTGCCATATAATAAACTACCTACTAACCTACAATGGAGGACAAAAATCCTTGGAACAGTTATGGAAAAACTTGCTTCCACATCCTTAACTTATCAAATAATCAGATGTAGCATAATATACACTTCTCTAACCACGTGGAAACCGACAATGGCTTTCCCCTCCCCCCTCCAAACAATGTTGGGATGAAGAAACACTTTCAGGACAGGCTAAAGTGTACAGGGCTGCACAAACTACAACATTGCTTGGGGGCGAGGGGGAAAGGAGGAGAAATTAAGGCATAGCGTGTTAATTGTTTTGTCCCCCATTGTAGCTTGCTGTAGCCGTTGTAGGGAATATTGGCTCTCGTTCGTTTTTCTACGAACCTCGCTGCGCTCGTATTTTTACTGCCACGACCTCGGGCCAATAGGGAGCTTAAGTAACGACGACGGCGTCGCCGAGGACGACGCCTAGTCAAAAATGAATTTATGTTTCACCAGCGAAATTCGCAATTCTCTAGATCTGTTCAGTACGCCATTAGCTCTAAAACAGTGCTCAGGCTAAATATGCAATGACAGTCTTCAGTTCCAAATGAAAATACGAAAAATTAGCCGTCGTCGTTCGCTTCCACGGACGACACAAAACTTGGTCATTTCACGTTCTTGTTTTACAGAGGACGGCAAAGAAATGTACAAAGATTCATAACGCACGTGCACAGCCCGTGTTTTGCTCATTAAACCTTTTGTTTGGTGACGTTCTCGTTACCGTCGTCGTCGTGGTTTGCTTAAGCTCCCTCCCTCCCTTAAGCTCAAGTAGTTGTTCGGTTTTTACAGTAGATGAGTTTTTTCTTTTTTTTACAGTAGACGATAGCGAGTTATGATTTTTTTAAATGCAATATCGAATTATAATACTAAGTTACTTGCAGCAAAGCTAATCGAGAGTTAATCTTACAGGATGCTGTGTTCGTAAGAAAAGTAAGATCAACTCACCTGGCATCCCATGGTACTCCATTCACTCAGACTCTCGTTCCAAAAGTAGCAGGCTGAACAGATGACGTCAAACGTGTAATTTACTACCGTCTGTTCCTCTTCCAGGTCATGCGCACTGGATAAAACTCCAATGTAATACTCGCCCTTCCCCTTCATCTGATCACGTGGCACAAAGAGCGTGTAGTTTTTTTCCGTCGCCGAGTCATGGTTGGGTAGAGTGGTTTTAAAGTCATACTCAGTTGTCGAAGGTTTCTCGTTGTATCTGAGGTAGATTGCTAGTTTGGACAGTCTGTCTGATGGGAGAATGTCAGCTATCATGACGCTGTCATTGTTTGGAATGGAGATCTTGTGAAACGTCATGGAACCACTGGAGGAAGGAGTCTGTGAGATGTTGAGTGAGACCTGTAACGAGAATTGACACTGAGGTGCTTAATTATTGAAGGAGATGAAGGTCCGTACGGAATATGTTTTTCTGTGGTCTTCACGACACATGGAAATTACTTTAAGGCATTGATTATTTATAATATAATCGGTTTGTGATTTTCAGATTGACACAAGCCGAAACAAAATATTTAGCCTGCGATCAAGCTTTTCAAGGAAAGAAGGAAAGCCTGCCTCGAATTAAGAGCCTATTTGCAGGCTACAAAATACTGAAATCCAGCTCCTTTCATACAGTTACTTCTGAAGATAATTATAAAGAGGCGTATCGTGCAATATTACGCTGTTGCAGTCGCTTCCACAGTATCCATGGACAACAAGCAAGTTGCTCAATTTAGGGTGTGGTAAGTATTGCGGTTAGTAGTACTATACCTCTAGTTTCTTTTGCAATGGAAACCGGAATAAAGCGCCCACAGTCATTTTTCTCCTCTTATCGCTAATGTAAGGAACAGATTGAACCCTTTTAACTTTAACCTGTAATTACCTGAGCTGATCTTTTTTGCGGCAGCAAAACATCGATTAGCGATGTCAGGCCTTCGACAGCAATAACGTTCCCATCACTTCCTTTGAGCACTAAAGACAAAGGATTGGACCTGACCGGAGTGGAATTACTGGAACCTCGGAATGGATTTGAAGACAGCTCGGTTACCTGTGGAAGAATACAGGTCATACAGGAGAGTTAAAAAATCCTCTTTCCTTAATTACAATCGAACAAAGTTTAAAGAATCCAAAATTCCACAACTCACGGTAGTCGTGACGTAGGAATAATTTTTAGTTCTGTCGACCAGGCTCACGTTGCGTGGCATCACAAACTGCCCCAGACCTCCCACGTCCACTGAAATCCCGGCCACGTTATTTGGCGCTTGTTTGGACAAGCCAGTAGCTACGCTTGCGCTCCCTGTGACCAGCGGAGTTTGGCCCGGTATCATGGTATGAAGCATTGCGTCAGAGACTTTATCCACGAGATCAAGAATTTTAAACTGTACTTCCTGGAATGAAAATTGAAAAACAACCCTTTTTAGACTGTTGCGTTGTAATTAACAGCCGAGAATAAAGCTTTTTATATCGTCACACTAAATTCCAGCCACTCTTAAAGCAAACAGAAACTTCAAGCTTGGATTTTTGAGATTTATTGTTATTAATCCTTCAGGCAGTACGTGAACAATTGTTGTTTTCGTAGAAGCCAAGTGGTTAGTACGTCTGAACCGAGGCTTAGAGTCCTGGCTTCTAACTTCTTCCTGGGCAAGACGTTTTATTGAACTGTCGATCAGATTTCATCGCTAACTACAGGTGTTCGCCCTTCACGCCTTCTCAGGAGCATAAACCATCAACAGTCTCTCTCCACAGTAAAAAAAGTAATAAACTGCGAAGCCGTGAACGAAGATCCTGCTTGATTGAGCATTAGATCTCACAGGAGATCTAATCAGCCCGGCAAACTTGAAGAGTAAAACGATGAGAAGTCAAAGACTACTGCAAGGATGTCACAACGCGGTATATATAAAACAATATATGGGCTGACCAGACCAGCCTTCTTCAGGTATAGATGTTACTATATTGGTCTAAATATAAAAATGAAATTACAATATTATATAGTGGTGGATGTCGTAACACCTATTTCGAAACTAAAAGGAGTGGCGGAAATGACGGACAAAACAAACTAAACAAAGTAAAGATAAAACGGGTCTACGTACGTTACAAGTTTTACGATTCATCACGTCTCTCTATAGCTTCCTGTCCTGTGCATCCCTCTTTAGCTGATAACAGTTCTTGCCTTACATACGGACAGTCAAATGTGTCACCCCTTTCCACACAGAAGTATAAATGGGTACCAGCGNAAAAAACCTTTTTAGACTGTTGAGTTGTAATTAACAGCCGAGAATAAAGCTATTCATATCGTCACACTAAATTCCAGCCACTCTCAAAGCAAACAGAAACTTCAAGCTTGGATTTTTGAGATTTATTGTTATTAATCCTTCAGGCAGTGCGCAAGTCTTAGAATATACGTGAAAAATTGTTGCTTTCGTAGAGGCCAAGTGGTTAGTACGTCCGGACAGAGGGGTTAGAGTCCTAGCTTCCAAGTTTTTCCTGGGCAAGACATTTTATTGAACTGTCGATCAGATTTCATCGCTAACTATAGGTGTTCGCCCTTCACGCCTTCTCAGGAGCATAAACCATCAACAGTCTCTCTCCACGGTAAAAAAAGTAATAAACTGCAAAGCCGTGAACGAAGATCCTGCTTGATTGAACGTTGGATCTCACAGGAGATCTAATCAGCCAAACTTGAATAGTAAAACGATGAGAAGTCAAAGACTACTGCAAGGATGACACAACGCGGTATATTTAAAACAGTATTTGGGCTGGCCAGACCAGCCTTCTTCAGGTTTAGATGTTACTATGTTGGTGTACATTATAAAAATGAAATTACAATATTATATAGTGGTGGATGTCGTAACACCTATTTCGAAACTAAAAGGAGTGGCGGAAATGACGGACAAAACAAACTAAACAAAGTAAAGATAAAACGGGTCTACGTACGTTACAAGTTTTACGATTCATCACGTCTCTCTATAGCTTCCTGTCCTGTGCATCCCTCTTTAGCTGATAACAGTTCTTGCCTTACATACGGACAGTCAAATGTGTCACCCCTTTCCACACAGAAGTATAAATGGGTACCAGCGAAATATTAGCTAAGGCAGCCTTAAAAAACGTTAGGGTTGAACTTACGATGGACTAGCATTCCATCCAGGGAAGGGAGTAACAAATGTCCTGGCCACTTCATGCTACGGAAACCGGAGTTAAACCCCCAAACCACTTACCTCAGCGGCTTTTTTGTCTTCATCATTTAAACTGTTAGTATTACTGTTGGATGAAGCCAGAAATACATTTGATAATCCTTGGAGTAATTCAGTAGAGATCGTCTCGATAACTCCCCCATCCTCCCCTCCTTGGGACTCTTTCATCACTATGGCCGCCATGTTAGCATATTGCTTCGTCGCTAGAACCTAAATATAGTATTGACAACATCGTTTGTAAATTAAACTAAAACGTACGAAATATCCTTAAACATGTTGATTTATTAAAAACTGTGTGCACATAGCAGGTTGTGAACAATGACTAAATAACCAGTAGTAGAAATCCTGGTCGAAATGCCATAATATTTTGCTGCAACATCATTCGACTTTTTGGGGGAAAATATTAGAACCACTACACTACCCAAAAACAACGACAACAATCCTTTATTTAAACACGATTTTGCTTAAAGCAGTAGGTTTGCTTGTGGGGTCGTGTATCTAGCTAAAAGTTCTGCCGTACTGTCTTAGCCGATAAATTAACCTGAAATATCGGTTTTTCACATTTTGACGGATTTGTTGTATCAATTTATGCCATATCTCCATCATTTGTAGCTGTCGTTTTCGGCTCGTCACGTAACGTAGGGAGAAAACGTGTGTTGCGTAACAAGCCCTGGATGACGTCCCAGTTTGCCTCACCTGCGCCTCCACTTCAGTCTCCGCAGCAACAGCGGTTGCCGCCTTTAGGGGCTTGGATCCAAGTAATACATCATTAAGACTTTGTGGACGAAACTCAGCCAAGTACTTGATAATCGCCAAACGAACCTGTACAACAAACGTGACAACCAGTCTATCACTTAGGCGTATCAACTTTTTTGTATTGCGTTATATTCAGTTACAGTATCACTTTTGCAATCCTGTCTTCTACAAACCCTGCTTCTCACCTGCTTTTATGTATGCTTCTTATATTCTTCTACCAATGGAAGTTTCATTAATTGTGAAGCCGGTTTAGTAGCCCAGCCCGAAATTGTCAAAGTTGGAAGAACGGTATTTCCTAGTAAAAGGAGGGACGCTGGGTCGAGTAGAGCTGGACTTTTCTGTACCCTATGAAGGGGTGAGAAGGGGTGTGGGTGATTTTACCTGTCGCTTTACGCCGCTGAAAAAAAAATTATGCGACGTTTTCGAGTGGTGTAGCATGGAATATTCCACGAGTCATGATCACTAGTATTATCTTGGAGTACATACGAGCCTTAAGGCGAGTGTGTACCAAGAAAATACACATGACAAGTGGGACATTCCATGGTATACCACGAGAGAGCGTTGTAAACTATTTTATACCATGCCATAGAAAATACTGTGGCCCATACAATCAATGTGACATACGTACGCACCGCGCATGATGGGAAGGTTAGAGGTAATACCGTCGAGTACACAACGGCTTTCCTGTATTCTGATTGGCTGTATTGCCTATGAAATGATGTAAATTACAGTATCCCCTACAACAGCTTCACCTGAGTGTTTCTTAGAATGTACCTGTTTGTTTTGTTCAACCGCATTGTCCTTAGTGGAGTTCTGTACATTGAGTACATCGCTGATAGCATTTATACGCTGCACTGCTTCTTGCACTGCGCCACGACCAATCGCCTTTTCTATTTCGTTTCCCGGCGTAAGAGTTTTTTCTACCAATTCCTTTTGAGTCACCAGTCTGCGGTTTACCTGAATGAAGGAACAAATACGATGATGGGCAAGCAAGTTTTTGTTTATATAGCAACTCGAGATTTCTATTTAAACAACAGAATGTTCCTGTGGAGGAACTATCGGCTGATAGTTGCCCCGCGGAAATTTGATGTTCTTAAAACGAATATTTGCGCGAGAAGCGAAGCTTCCAAAGTGAAACTATCAGACCGATAGTTCCGAGACATAAACACTCTATTGTCTTTATTGTTCACCACTAAATTTTCTTCCGCGTGCCAGTTCAAAAATCATATTGAATTATTTTGAACTTTTTTAGATGAAAGCCGTGAAAGCCAAATGCAAAATTTTAAGAAGAAAACAGACGAAAACCTACTTAATACATTTTCAATTGTTTATTTTCTATAAACCCGCTTGTTCACGGAAACATTTCACGGACGAGTACCATGCATCAGGGTATTTTCCTCGGACGGGCACTACGGGCTGATAGTGTCTCTCCGCAGATGAACACTATCGCGTCACGGGATCAAAGAACGTACCTGTTTGTTTGAGTTTCAATATCATCAGTTCGCAACTTTTACTACTCATTTTAGGATCAGATATTGTGGCTTCATTAGTCTTAAGAGTTACAAAAGTGCAGGCTTTACCTGAATCCGAAGATTTTTGTCCACGTACTCTCCATACGCGTCCTTTATTATCACCGCAACATTAACAGAATAGTTATTTTCTTCCTTTCCCATCGGAAGAATCGCCCTGTAACTCTCTAACGAAGGACCAAAGAAAAACAGCACCCCACTCAGAGGCGAGACTGGGTCCTCCTCGCTTTTATTTGGGTGAGAGTAAAACATTTCATAGGTCAGCGGTTGATGCTCATCCTGCCACCCGCTGCATGAGAAAGTAAATATTGTGTCCAGTTCTTCGCCTGTCTTGGGTGTGACGTCACACGATCCTCCATTGGGTGGAATGTTGGTTACAATGTTATACTCTGCCAGTCCTTGGGATGCTGAGAACAATTTCAAAACGAAATATGCGTTAAAATTTTGTTCACAGCCTTTTTTTTCCTAAAAGTGTCATGGAACAGCTATCGATTTAACAAATACCTGAGCTGGGCCGACTGGCGACAATTTTGATTCTGTACGAAGAGCCACTGTCAAATGTCCCTCCAAGGATGACAGCATCCGGGAAGTTTTGAGGGGTGAGGGTTCTTTCGGGCCACACCAAGAAAGGCAACGAGGCTGGGACGTNCATAAGGCTGAATGTTTACCAAGTCTTTTAATTGCTTTGGTATTTTTCTACTTCCCGTCATATGCCTACCAAAGACCTTGTTAGAAAACCTTCCTAAGAATAATAAACAAAAATGTGCATTGTCCTCAAACCTGACACTGACTGTGTTCCTCGGAGAGTATTTTTTTCCCATAACTTACCTTACTTCTCGCCCTGATTCCGGGGGTAGCTGTGGGAGAGAAGATTCGGAAGCTGGGCGATATGTGTTCGCTTTGTAGACAACCCACTTGAAAGTTACCGTGTGGCTTTCCTTGCTCTGGATTTCAACATGCGAGCTCAGAGCAACCTTACTTCCGTAGATTAGAGCAGTGCTGTTCACCAGGCTTTTTAGCCCTCCAATGACTGACACGCGAGGTACTGGAACATCTTTGTCTGTTATTATAACTGAGGCTCGCGCTGATTGCTGGGATGCCTCATTCCAAGCCCACACGTTTGCCACAAACATTCCCTGATTTGAATAGACATGGTTGACAACCTTGGCGTAATAGCTCGATGGATCGAATGGAAGATGTGTGTTGGGATCAATTTTGCTTTCCGCCTTCAGTTTGGAGTTATTGCTAAACTTCTTGAGCGTGACATTATAGCCTCCGTTACCCGCATTGAAAACGAATGTTGAATTCGTCCCCAGGCTTGCGCAGAATACAACGAATGTAACGCTCTTCCCCGGTCTCGCCAGACCACTGACAGCTAAATACAAACCCATCACTGAATGCTGTAATGTGATGGACCGCTGTAAAAACCGCTCCCCGAGGCTGTTAGAAACATTAGCCGTAACGGTGTAAGTCCCGGTTAAAGGATACGCATGCGTTGTATTAGGAGTTGTAACATCTATTAACTCAATATAGTCTCCGTAATTCCAATCGTACTTCAAGCAAGTTCCCGTATCTTGTATGATCGCGAAGGACACTGGGTACTCAAACGGAAACATGTCTCCCGTCGGGCCACCACCCAAGGTCCCCGGATAAGCCGAGTATTTGGAATGTAGAGCCTTGAGAGAGGCGTTGCTGATATGTTCTATGACGTCAACAGGAGCGGTTAACTCCACGCGACTTACAAAGTTCCATATGATCAATTTGGCCGTGTAGCACCCTGGGCGCGAGTACGAATGTCGATAACTAAACTGAGTTTGATTCGGATTAATGAGCACCTCTTCTGAATTCTCACCGTTACCAAACTCAATTTTGTATTTTGCACCAACAAGATCTGATAATGACGAATTTCGACTGAAATGGAAAACGATATTTCTTGACGGCCAAATGAGCGTGTTGTTTTGATGAAATGAGAACCCTTCAACAGGATCCTGGATTGTTATCGAATCAGTCGCATTTTCTGCAGAATTTTGATTTGACGTCCATACCGCTATTTCGTAACTTCCTTGCGTGGTGTAAATATTACTTGTGATAAATGCCTGGCTTCCAAACCCTTTGGCTTGACGATGAATATCATTCCCATCGCCGAATTTCCACAGCACTGCTACATCCAGCCCTGATGCAATAGTCACGTAAACCGGCACAGGACACCCAGTTCTAGTGATGGGATTAACGCTGATAGACAAGCCAGATATTTCTTGCAAAAACGTAACCTTGGCTGTAAGTTTTTTCGCAGGCGTGACCGAATTCGACAACACTATTTTTACAGTGTAATTACCAGGGGTTGGGCACAGCGTAGGACCAAGCTGGATAAACCCTGTTTGACTGGTTTGCTGACTGGTAATTGAACCATGGCCCGATAGGGTCACACTGTGTTGGACATGTGTACCTGTCGTCCAGATCCATTCAATCTGGACAGACTGACCAAATTCTTTTAGAATCTTTCCATTACCAGTTTTGAATTTCAGGCCTGTGATTACTTCGTCGACTTTAGCAGTCGTTTGGACTCGGCTGCTTCCACACTGAACGATCACCTCAAAGCTACCGACGGAGCTGTAGCTGTGGAGCAATGGGAACGGAAGGGTTGAGTCACTATAAGTTTCTGTTGTTTCATCACCGAAGTCGATCTCACACTGAAACAGGAAGCCATACTCATAACTTATGCGAATTTCGCTTGCACTCCCAGGAGTGGTCGCTTGGCATGACACATTGAGCCCGCGGATCTCCATCGGTGTGCTCGGTTTCTCCACCGTGATAGTCTCATTAAGATGTACCAGGTCTGTTGTGAGCGTATTGCTGGCAGTAACTGAGGCGTTAAATACCCCATATTTTGCGTAACGGTGTGTCACGGTGTTGTTTGTAGTGTGTACAGGCTCAGAACCATCAGCAAAATCAAACTCGTACGTTACACGGCTTCCTTTCAAGATCGAAGCCACGATCACAGCGTTTTCAAACATAAGTATTGTACTGCGCTGGGCATATGCTACAAGACCGACAATGCGATCGTCTACCACGGCTTTGCCTTTTATCGTTTTGTTACGCCCCACCAAGTTGTACGCAGTGATTTTGACCATGAATTCGCCCCAAGTTGAATAATTATGGCGTACAGTCACGTTCATGCCTACAACATTCCCGTCCAGTATTTCAAGAGCGCTTCCGTCCTGATAGTCGACGACAAAAATTACGTCACTTCCTTCTGTGATTTTCCACGATATAACAGACGGTTGACCAGTTTCCACCGCTTTGATTGGAGAGACGAAAGCGAGGCCTTGAATCTTACGCTGCACTGTAATAGTTTTTCTGACCTTCTTTGAACTAATTTGATTGACAGCCTCTACAGATATGTTATATACTCCGGTTTCGTTGAAACTTTTTAACAAGGACTTTGCTGTGAGGACTTGACTTGGTCCGCCGTCGCCATAGTTGACCACATAACTGACGTTGTCGCCTTTGGTTTGCGAAAATCCAAAACTTATCTCCTCCCCAGGACTCGCTCGGTCAGTCACTAGTAACATAAATCCTTCGATCCTTTGTTGCGCGTGCACTATAATCCAGGTCCGCAATAGACTTATGGCGTTGAAAGCCTCTACTGTTACGTTGAATGGTCCCGAGCGAGGGAACGAGTGCCCTACATTGTGGTTAGTTTCTCCCGAGGGAATTCTCGAACCTTTAAAAGTTTGACTGCTGCCACCATCTCCGAACATCCAGCGGAAATACACATCCGTGCCAGCTGTAACGTTGCTATAGAAACGCGTGCCAGCCCCAACCGCCACGATTTTTCTTCCATGAAACTCGACCTCAGACTCAACGGCTATAGTAATGTTTTCAACTGGATCTTGCACAGTCACGTTATAGAATACAATCACATGATTAACGGCGTTCTCTCCTGTGAAAATTACTTGCCACTGACCGGAAGCGAATGTCCGATTGAAGAGATAGCTCTTCGGAAATTCTCGGAGGACAAATCCATCACCGAAGTCAAGACGATACTTGACGTTAGTTCCCGATCCTTTGGTGATGTTAAACGTTATTGTGCTGTTGGACGGCGCAGGATTCGGGAAAGCGGTTATCCCTAGTCCTGCTATGCGCAGTTGCACATAAAACGAGAGCGAAGCAAACGCGGAGGATATGGAATTGGAGACATTTACGCTGATCGAGTAGAAACCGGTTTGGTTAAAATGGAATTCTATAGAATTACTCGAACATATCATTATAGTTATGGTGTTATTACCGTGCAGATACCATTCATAGGTTAGGTTGTTTCCTGTCACTGTCCGAGCAATAAAGGTGTGGTTATCAAACAGCTCTACTCCGGTAAAATTGTCGAGGGTAAGACCTGAGACTTGTTCAATGATGAAAATGTCGGAGACTGCTTTGACAAGTACTTCATTTTGAAGCTTAACAGTGACTCTGTAGGTGCCTCCCGTTGTGTACGTGTGGGACACCTGCGTTTTGTTAAGACCTTCCTCTGTACTCCCGTCTCCGTGATCCCAACAGTAGTATTGATCCGCGGCAAAAGGTCCAACTAAGGAGCACGATGAGTTTATCGTCAAATCCACCGTGCCCTGGAGCGGCACAGAAATACTCAGTGGATGTAGAACGTGAACTGGAAACCAAGCTATTAATTTGGAGGCTAGATTGGTCGCGATCACGGAAACATTAAGAGTTCCTGTCTTAGAGAACCGGTGAACAACGGTTGTGTTGGAAACATAGGGCGTGTCTGTGCCATCGCCAAAGATCCACTTGAGTAGAACGTTCGTTCCAACAACAGAGGCGTTCAGGGTTGTAGGAGCGCCTAAGAAAATTGGCGTCGAAATCACAGATGCATGTAGGTCGGATAAGGCGTTTTGAACATTCACTAGAGCGGTGCGATTGATTAAGCTCACGTTGTTCGCTACTTCAACAAAAACCAAGTATATTCCTAAGTTAGGAAAAGTGTGGTTTAGCTTGTCCACAACATGGCCCTGTTCAAGGCTTCGCAAGGTTTGGCTTTTTAACAAAAAGCTGGAGTTGAGAAGTGTCCACGTGATAGTCACATTCGATTCCGCAGAGATATTAACGGTCATTTCCACGTTGCGGTTAATTTTCGTGCCATAGAAAGAAAATCCTTGCGGATAGGCAATTTTGACGTTAATAAGTGGAGTCTGGACCAGAATGTGTCGTGTTATCGGCAAATCGTTTCCAAGAGTATTCGAAAAACTGACTTGGGTCCAGTATTCTCCAGATGTGTTGAACTGATGGCTCATCTCGAAACTTGAAGCCTGGGACCCAATAATGTTGACCATGTAAGTCAACTCAGAAATCACCGCTGATTGGTTGATTGAGATTTCTGATCCAATCAGAAAGTTACTTAAATCGAACCCCGAAAAGTAATACACTGTGCTTCTCCCTGGCTTTTGCGCAATCTTCCCGTCCGTTGCCGGGCCCCATGCTATCATGTCCCCAGGCTGAACGTTAAAAGTTTGATTCTTGGGAAGAACAAGCAAGTTGTAACCTGTAGTGATCGTTAACACTCCCAAGTCAGTGGTCATTCTCAAGGTATTTGCGTGCAAAGCCGTAGAATTAGAAGACTGGGAACAGTTTCCACTCGACGACAGAAAACAGCAAGCCCTTGATGGGCAAAAAGTAAGGGAGGAGGAGCAGTGATAGGTAGGCTGTGGGGAACATTGCTGATGATTACATGACAGGTTAACGGGACAGTAATGAGGCGTTGGCAAGGAACAGACTGGTCTCACAACCTACCAATAAAAAGTAAAAGTAAGCAAATAAATAAGCAAAGAAAGAAATATTTACAAATATTGTTCTGAGCGCAAGGTACAGATTGACGAAGAGGGTCAGAAATCAGTCAACTGAAAAAAATTGAACAAATCGAAAGAAAGTGACATGAGTCATTACTGCAAATTCTGGTTTTCTTTTCCTTTCATTTTTTTTTGTGTTTTCTTAAGGCTTTAGCAATGCATTGCCATTTCATATGTGATTTTATCTTCACTTTCGTTTTGCAGCTGATTAAGTTATATTCATGTATAAATCGCAAAGATGAAAAAAATGTAACATGCAAATGATTGGCGGAGATCTCCAATTGGAACGTATTTCAGTCATAAATACTTTGATTTTGATAGAAACTATCAATTATCAATACTTACAAAAAGTTTTATTTGCCCCGCTGTGTAGCCATAGATTTCCAGGGCTAAAATCCGTGCTTCAGAAGAGAACTGGGATGTGGGAAGTAAAAACAGTCCTGGACCATATGAGGAAGTTAGACCTGGCACGTTCCACTGCGGTATGGCCGGGCCAGCCCGTACGTAAAGTGGGTCTGAGGAGAGTATACAAGAAGCTCGTTTAATCGATATACCGAATTTATTGCGCTAATTTAAATTTTAATATAACATCAGCTTTTAAGAAATTGTCTCACAAGAAAGGTTTTAAGAAGGAATCCACCAGAAGTCCGAGTAACAAATGGACAAAAACATTATATCGAGTTTATTTACACTTTATTACGAGCTTCTGTGCGACTATATTCTCAAACGACATCATTTCTATCAAACACCAAATGTCCAAAACAAATTGAAATTCATATAAAGCACTTGAAAGTACTGGTGAAATTAAACTTTCTCGACTTCCCATGGGAAATTGTTTTTGGTGTTATTTCAGGAAACTATTTGGATTTCTCGTTTGATTGAAAACGACTTGACAAACTTAGGTACAAAGAACAGCGGCGGGTTTTTAAGCATTGATCGAGTTTTGTTAGTAAAGGCACGTCATTAACGTAGTGCAATTAAGGATTCACAATTTAAGTGATGTTGGACTGATTATTTCCAGTAATGTATTTTTGTTCTCCGTATCTACTTTATCATGGTGGTAACCAGCTCGAAAGCCAATGGCTAATCTGATTACCTCGCACATAGTTTTTTTTTTTTATTTTCTCCATAACCATATGTAACATTTATTTCTTTTCCCATCTTTATTTCATAATAATGATGTGAATTTTAAAATTCTGTGAATACTGCACAATAAAAATTGTTTGTTTGATTGATTGATTGATTGAAAAATTTTCTCAAACTTGCACGAGTCAAGCAGAGTTCTCGTAATTTGAAATAATTTTAAAATATTACGACTATAATGTAAATCATAATTGCTCGAGTTTTCATGGAATAATTCTGTATGTCTGAGAAAATTACGAACGGGCTCACGTTAATTTGCACTACAGTGCAAATAAGAATAAGTAAATAAGTAATCGCTAAATGCGAATATAATTAAGAATTTTATTGCTCTTTCAGCCAGTTACTTCCTTTGTTACAATCTGCTAAGGTTTTTAGGTACTGTAATTTCCAAGCGATTTTAATTAGAGATCAGCCAGCAGATGTTACCAGCTTTGAATAGGCCACGTTCGATCTACCAATATTNAATAATTCGTTTTGCGTTTTGCCTCTGCTAAGCAAACAATGTCAACCGATGCCGTCGAACGGGAACCAAAGGCTTAAATGAAATAAAAAACTCGTTATAACCGTGCAAATATGAATAAATTTAACTTACTTGGTAATGAAATGTTTCTTTCCTTTCCATCTTGAAAAAGCCATGTCGCTGTAAGACTTGTCCCTTCGTATATTTTCGCGATACAGCGAAATGTTTCCCCTGTTCGAACAACTGAGGGACAATTCAACTCCGCTGTCCCTGGCTTGGCTTGAATGTACACATCGCGCTTTTTATAATCCAACTTTGGATCTACATTTAACGGCTGAGCTTTAACGGTGATTTTACCCCAATAAGACGCCCTGAATTTAAACTTCGCGCTGACCCCGGGGGAGTCTCCGTTTTCATCTCCAATGTCAAACGCAACGCGCAATCCAGGATCGCTTCTGTTCACAAATTCGGCAGTTAGATTAACCCACTCAAAAACAGCGACGGGGCCCAAGTAGTTTACAACTAGGTCGTCAGCGTAAGAGCTTGAATTGTAAACTGAATTTGCCCATGTCCCTCCACAAACGTAATTTTCGTCGCCACTGCAGTTTACATTACAGTTCGAGCTTTCCGCCCGCGAAGAATTGAATGCATTGGCGCAAAAACACAAGTTGCCATTTTGAAGAGCGGCCAAGTTGTATTTCATGTTCCCACAGAGTTTTACGCAAACGTACGGAGTAAGGCTCCATGGTTGATAGTCCCCGGGCGATACACGAAATTCTCGGTTTAGCGGCGATTCTGTATAGCAGCCAAGTTTAAGATTTTCTAGAACGAAACAAAGCAACATTAACTATAAATCAAGGGATAGCAGAAAAAATATCATCAGAACTGAAGTTGTTGAGGCTAAGAGGTGTAAGGAAAAAAAAGAAACAAAATTGATTTAGTATCTTCAAGGCGGATAAGGGGAAACGTCCCCGAACTCACAATATTTGTAATCTTGGATTTATGAAGGAAAGAGGTTTATTTCTATCATTTGACACTTCTTGACACGAATCGTTTCTGAATTGTCGTAGGAC